ACCTCGACTACCAGGATGGATGGCCAGTGGTCAAGTACGTGCATTACCCTTCAGCAGAAGACACCAACTGACCCTTGCAGAGCCGTGGAGAACAGCGGAAAGAACAGCGGAACGGCCAATCGTTCAAACTGTATTCTCAGTATATCCGCTTTGATAGGTACGCGTTCTGTCAATTACGCAGACTCTGAGCTGACAGATACAGTGGGGTATATTCTGATGTGACGATTACCCATGAGTGGCATATCGCATCTTACCTGTATATAGATGAATGGTCCGACTGTACAAACGCTCCAAGCTTATAGATACCCTTGTCGCTACTTAATGAATGATGCATGCATTGCTCACACCTCACACCTCGTATCTCATAGATCATATCCAGCTCAAGGATCCCAACCACCGTCCACATTCAGAACCAAGCCGGTCGTATACGAGGAGGCATCACTCAGCAGAAACAGCACAGACTGCGCGGCTTCATCGGCCGTCCCAAGGCGCGGGATGATCGTGGGCATAGCATTCAGCGTGCCCTGAATATCACGAGCCTTGTCAACCAGCGGCGTTTGGATAGTCCCACTGCAGACATTAGCAACATCTCAGAAGACAATTAGACTGTCAACTTACGGAGCAATCGCATTGACTCTGATAGCCGGGCCAACCTCCTTCGCCACACTCTTCGTCAACCCCACAACTCCATGCTTGGTCGTCGAATACGCCGCATGCAGCGCAAACCCTCTCAGCCCCTGGATACTCGCCGCATTGACGATACTGCCCTCGCCGGCGGTCGCCGCAATACTCCTCACCTCCGCCCGCAGACAGTACATCATCCCCGTGAGATTCACCCTGAGCAGAAAATCCCACTCCTCATCATCCTGCTCAACAAGCTTCCCAACCCCGTGCTTCCGCCCAATCGTCCCCGCCATGTTCGCCGCGCCGTCCAGCCGCCCGAACTTCTGCACCGTGGCGTCGATCCACGCATCCACAGAAGCAGAGGACCCCACGTCCACGACCGTTGTGAGGACCGTCTCGCTGTCGGAGCCGAGTTTCGCGAATGCGCTGGCCAGCACGTTGGCGTCGATGTCTGCGAGGGAGAGGCGCGCGCCGCGGGCGTGCAGTTGCTGCGCGACGGCTAGGCCGATCCCTGCGACGCCGGTTACGGCGTAGACTTTGTTTTTGACGGAGTCCATGGCAACCTTTGTTACTTGGTTATAGATGTTGTGTGGTGTGTAGAGGTGAGAACTACGTGGTTGTTTGTTGTCTTGAGAGGGGTAATCGGAGTATATCCGGGACAAGATGAGGGGATGGGTTAGCATTTTAGCCATTTATCCGGTGGATTGCAGATCATGGGGAAAATACCCCAGAGATATAGATAGTGCATGACTGGCGGTTGGGTTAATGAAGGATCCTTCTAAGAGTAGGAAACAGACTAGAATCGTACTCGTAGTGCATGACTATGTCTAATATCCACGGCACTCCGCCCTATCAGCTTCTGCTAGATTCAACCAGGATCTAAACAGGAATCGTGTTATTCAAGTTTTTGATTTCATCACAGTAGTCTTACTGTCTTCCTCCTTCAAGAATTGAATTGAATTGAATTGACGGCCTCAACAACGAATGGCATCACCCCCCTTAACATAGAACTCTACTTTCCGGCCTCCCCTCCCAGACAAATCAGTCCGACAAGACCTCACAACCCCATCCTCATCCCATCGAAAGTCCACCTTTCCACCCCCCCTCAACCGTACCCCAGTTACACTCCCCCCGCCCCACGCCACCGGGATCGCCGGCCCCAGGAGCACAGCTTGCACCTCCCTCGCTCCATCCAAATCCCTCACAAGCATAGCCATCACCGCCCCCAAGATCCCATAATTGGCATCGATCTGAAACGGCGGGTTACCGGAGTACATGTCCAGCCCATTCGCCGCGAAATTCTTCTCGATGGCGAGGGTGAGCTCGCCGTATGCGTTGCTTGTCTCATTGAGGAGGGCCCAGCACGCGCTGCGCCAGACCTTTCCCCAGCCTGTGTTCGAGTCTTCGATTCCGGAGCCGCGGGATGTAAGCGTTGTAGCTACCGCGTCGGTGATGGTATTGTTGTGGCCGTGCACTGAGGAGATGGAGTAGCCCGGGTACCATCCGTAGAGGTTTGAGAGGTGGCGGTGGGTGTCATTTCGAGTGTCGAGGTCGAGTTTCCACTCTTGGATCTGGCCCCAGGACCCGATGTGGATGCCGGTGTCGAGGGAAGCGAATTTGGAGGCGATGGCGGAGTGGAAAGTGGCGTCGGTGTCGCCTGAGATGTTCCAGCCGCGGAGGACGTGGTCGAAGAGTTCCCAGATGAGTTGTTGGTAGTGGGTGCAGCCGAAGGTCTGTCTACTTAGCTTTGCTTGGGGAGAGGGGAGGAGAGGGAGGAACATGGACATACCGTTGGACCGTGTTCTGGCGAGTTGCAGGGATTGACGACCCAGGTTCCGTCGTTAAAGTGCTTGTCCTGGACGAGCTGCGAGAGCCAGAACTGAGCTGACCCCTTGAGGATTGGGTAGCCGACTGTTTGGTACCATTTGGTGTCCCGCGTATAGTCGAAATGATCCCAGACATGCTGGGACATCCACGCGTTGACGGCGGGATAGTTGGCCCATTGTGCCGTGTCTTTCATCCTGCATGTATTGTCAGTAAGGACAATGACCAGGGATGCAGGACGTACGCGGTATGCCCGAAAATATTCATCTCGTCGTGCGTCACCCATCCTTCGGCGTTATACAACAGCCTCGCTGTCTCTGCACCGCGCGGCAACCAGGTCTCGAGCATATAAGTCCAGAGAGGCTCCGTCTGCCCGCCTAGCCCAGTCTGCTCGACGCCCCAGTGGTTCATCTGCAGGTTGATGTTGGCATGATAATCCGCGCTCCACGCMGGGGAGTACTGTTCCGTCCAGAGCCCTTGCAGATTCGGCGGAAGGCTCCCTGGTCGCGAGGACGAGAGGAACAGGTACCGACCATAGTCGAAGAGCAGGTTTTCGACGTACGGGTCGCCCGGCTGCTTGTAGGCCGTGATGAGCTCAGTTGTCGGCTTGCTGGCGGAGTTGTGTGGGTCTGGGAGGGTGAGGGTGAAGCCATCAAAGATGCTCTGAAAGTCCTTGACATGCGCCGACTTTAGCCGTGAATAAGGCTTCCCGGCTGCATTGGACGCTGTCTTTAGCACATCATCATAGGGCTCCTTTCCTCTGAAAGAGAACCCGGCTGCCGCATTTCCCTTGGAAACATCGTAATCCGTTCCGGCTGCAACCACAATGACAATCTCCCTCTGACCCCCTGGCACACGGACTGCAGATTGCGCACATAGATCACTCTTCAAGCCAGGAACTACTACCGTCGCCCTAGCATTATACCGCATCCCAATGCCCGGAAGCGTCCGCCCATACAGACTGATACTATTCCCCGAGCAGCTGACATTCGGCTCCGGCGCCGCAAGCTGATTCTCCAGATTGATCGCGACAGCGGGGAGACTTGTATTCGACGCAAGCCGGTAAACGCATACGTTGTCAGGATACGAGCAGAATGCCTCCCTGTCTTCACGTCAAAATTTTGTCTTCTCATCCCATTCCCATCCCGTCAACCTACCTCTGAACACACCCATCTCCCACACAGAACCGATCCCCATACACCCCCGTCCGCAGATCCAGACTCCGCCTGTAATCAGCCACATTGCCCAGATCCCCCAGATCAACCGTCAAATTCGCCAAAACCTGGTATGACCCGTAATGCGGAAACTCGCCCAGCAACGCAGAGACATTCCCCGTGCCGTTCTGGAAGATCCACTCCCTGATGCCGGGGAGGGCATCTGCCTTGGAGATGTTGGGATTACCTCCAGAATAGTCCTTTCCAGTGTAAGCATTGATTTGTTTGTAGTACTCTGTGAGGGATACGTACTGGAGTCTCGAATGGACCACCACGCCACAGTGAATCAATATTCAAATTGATGATTTCCTTCCCCGGGAGCCCGAGGGGCATTGCTATCATCGTTAGAATTGAACTTTAATTGAAGAGGAATAGGCGTAGCATACCTCCCAACCGACCATTTCCTAATGGAAACGCAGTAGTTATGAGATCCGCATAGCTACCGGGGGAATCCGACCAGAGGGATCTGGCTGTCGCCAGGGGAAGGAGAGCTGAAGCTAGGGCGAGGTACATGGTTAGCTCTGCATTCATTTCGATTGAAATAGAGGAGGAAGACATATAAATACTGTAGCATTGATCGACATACTAGTTGGAGTAAAAGTGAGGGGTATGATTGATTAAGTTGATCCGGGGATAATTTGCAGCTGCAGTTGTCGTTTTATTTAGCCGGAATTCATCTCTACATTCTGTGCGGTTGTATCATTTCAATTGATCATATTGTGATTGTTTGCCAGTGATTTCGAGTTTTGCCATATACTGTGGCATTGTTGACGGGGCATGGCCTGTAACAGTCGATTTGGCAGCGGGCAAGCAGAGTCCTGCGGATAGGGCATCATGTAACTCCCTTGATTTGGCTGGAGGCTTGACATAATTGCCTTAGGAATATCCTTAGGGTAAATCTAAACAACATATCAAATAGTCATTGACACCTATCCACAGATCGCCGCACGGCGCAGCATACTGAAAGCTGGAGGGAATAAAAGATAGGAAGAACTGGAGGTTAGTAGATCAGACGGAATGCTTCTAGCATATTCACCAGAGAATCAATCCCCAATGTTATGTAGAGAATGTTACGCTGGGGGTGCTATAGAAATGACGGCCAATCTGCAGCTGACTGCCTAAATGCCTTCTCAGTTGAAGGATTGTATGGGGATTGCAAACTCATTGCTTTCTAGATACACAAAACAAGACCATTCTAGAACAGAAAAGACAGCATATACATAATACCTCAGGTACCCTATCCAGCAGCGTACCAAAAGCGTCACACTTTTCCTCGCCCCCACCCATTATCGTCAATTGCCTCAACTTCCACCATCGACCGCAGTTGCTGCAGCTCACTCAGCCCCTGAAAGGGAAGCCGGAAGGAGTTGCGCTGGGAGTAGGGGCCACACTCGGAGTAGGTGTGATGCTTGGGTAGCCCGGAAACCCGCCAGTAGGAGAGCCTCCGCTAGGCCCAGACGGACGGCCAGTTGGCTTTGGCCCTCCGGGAAAGCCACCACTCGGGTGCGGCCACGGCCAAGGCCAGCCGGGGACGCCGGATGGGTGGTGGTGACGGTGATGAGCTTCCTCGCGCTTTTCGTAGTCTCCGCTACCACCCAGTCCGGGGAAGTCGGGGAAACCGGATTCAGTGGGCGCGCCGGATGGAATAGGGAATGGGAACCCAGTTGGAAAGCCGGACGGAATAGGGAATGGAAATCCAGTTGGGAAGCCGGTAGGGACGCCCGAAGGAATAGGGAATGGGAAACCGGTAGGGACGCCCGAAGGAATAGAGAATGGGAGGCTACCAGAGCCACCAGAGCCAGAGCCGCCAGATGGGAAAGAGAAAGGCAGGTCGGCTTCCTTGGCAACAGGTGCGGGCAAGGCGAGGGCACAGCCCAAAAAGCCCAACGTCGCTGCGATGGAGAGCTTCATTTCGATGTATGAAGTGGTGGACTGCGAAGGTATGAATGAAAGTAGAGGTTGTCTTCAAATGAGTGTCAAGCTTGCGTTAGACGAAGCGAGCTTGGAGTCGAAGAAATCGAGGAAGACAATGTCTCTTTTTATAGATGGGAACCTCCAGCACAAATCAATAAAGGAATTGATCAACACAACGGATGAATTAGGCAATCCATCCGCCTTCGAGTCAGAACAAGAAACAGGCTGGTCAGGGACTCAGGGCTTCGGATATAGGGTCCATGCTTGTTTAGAGGCAGATTGACGTCTGACCGTGGTGCTCTGTAGTGGAGCTACCATTGACGGAAGCAACAAGAAGAAAGCTCCGCGACAAAGCCGGACGGGACGGTAATGTGCTGGCCTAGGTATCATCTTCACACGGCATCATCACTCGGTAGATAGGTACCAATAGCCCTGAATGGGCGGTTCGATGTTACATATTGTGAAACGCGGACTGTTGCAGATGGCGGATATGGCTGGGGCCCTGGCGAGAGGAGGTGCGAAGAGAGTCGAGACTCAAGGCTTAAGATCGTCCTTGGCCTCAAAATTAAGAACAATCCAGCTGTACACCATGACGAATCCTCTCGCGGACCATTGATAAACCCAATCGGCACAATCGTCTGCTGGGTTCCGAAAGTGATGAAGCTCCAGTAATCCACGCAAGAATATCAGCGTGATGACCTTGCAAGTCGTTGCTCTGTATGTGATGCCTCATCCTGCTATTAAGCTGGCTTATTTATCCGATGTGACGAAGACCGTTTGATATCCATGGAATCAAGGCCCACAGGGGTTTCCGACGCCCAATCATATCACTTCTGAGCGACTTTCTCCTGATCGGCAGGACGTCTGCAGTCCTGGACGGCAACTAGGATTCAGCCACAGTCGAGCCAGCCTCGTCAGGAGTCAGGGCTCAGGGCTCAGGACCGCTTCGGGACGTGTCCGTAGCATTGATCAGTTATTCAATATCCGTCGCGGCACTGGTGTGACAAGTCCAAGACAGCGCGGGATCGCCAGTTGGCAACAAATGGAAAGTTTCATTCTAGGCCGCCCAAAAGAAATTCAGGTGAGAAAGATGCAGTAGTGCAGCGTGATAGTGATAATTGGTGGCGATTAAGATGCCGTTCCCTGTTCCAGAGTGCCCTATTTCACCTCAGATTAATGGAAAAGCGATGATCAGCCGACGGATATGGTATCTGGCCCGAGCGATGAGACAAATCTGGGCTCTGCGTTCCAGACTCGAGGCCGTCAATAATTTGAGGGGTAATCACCCAGAAGACACACCGGTCCCAGGTTAAATCATTGCCCGTTCTGACGGAATCTGTTGCATTGCATTGCTGTGGATGGGTGTTGTGGATACTTTGCTGCTCGAATTTGGACCCGTTCTGGTGCAATTTTTGATGCCTGAGGCATTCAACAGAATCACATCTATTGAGTGATGTGTCCCGGATAATCTGAGCATCTACACTAACCGAAATTGCTTTTTCATCCTAATCATCATATTAATGCACAGTTTACAGCTAAGAAGTCTGACTGGGGTTGGTCTCGCTCTGCAAATCGTTAAGACTGAAGCCACTCATCTTCCAAGAGCAGCCGTGCTGAAGGCCTATCGCGAGGATCAAGCTGCATTGCTCGTAGCACGAATTCCTTATCTTCCTTACAAATCTCTTGAGTGGTGGTGAGATGAAAAGGCCGCAGTGTCTCGGGGGGGCTGTTCTGCATGACCCAAACGAGGACAGCTAGTCGTTGCTGGTCCGCAATCTGTTCGTACGATTCTGGAAATGGCCCGAAGCATCTATGATGCTTCATGAGAATTCTGAGGTCGTACTCATCATGGTCTGCAGGGACATCCGGCTTGAAGATATGGAATCCTTCTCCGTAGAGAAGGCTGATGAGCTGAATGGTAGATGGACGTTAATACTTAAGCTAGACTCTTCGACTGAGGATTAACTTGCCATTGCACCAAAAGACCAAATGTCTGTTGCAGTACCCCATTGCATTTGAAGATGCGCTTCAGGGCTTCTGAAGATAGGCGTGCCGATGGGGTCACCGTGTTGTGCGTGAAGGGAGTCCATGTGCACTGTGCTTCCAAAATCTGCCAATTGGACGTCTGTAAAACGGACATTGCCATGGCCATAGTTCACTAACACATTGCTCGGCTTAATATCTACATCCGTCCCATCAATAAGTTCGCATAGCAGAAACCTGGGATAAGTGGAGCATACCAGTGTGTACAAATCCCTCATCGTGCAGAACCGAGAGTGCTTCTAGCATCTTTTTTGCAACATACTTCACCTCTGGACGAGTAAGCCGCTGCTTGTGCGAGGCACTGAGAGCATCATCGTCCAGGTATTTGAGTATTAGCGTAGGGGGAACGGTTGAATCCTCCAGTTCGTCGATCAGTGGGCGAATACTGGCTGTTCGGTTTTGAAAACGGAATAAAATGTCTCGTTCGTTCTGTAATCGGAAGTGTCTGACACTCTTCGCTACAACTTTCTCCTGATTCTCGTTTCTGTAACTGTTATGAGATTATTACTTTAAAACAGCATGCGGAAGGAAAGGCGTACGTAGCAAGCCAGACGCAGTCCTGCAGTTGTTTTGTGACAGTATACAGCCCTCTTCGGCCTTTCAAAACCTGGCCAAGAAATAGTGTAGCTGCCATATGAGGAAATGTCTTTGAGTAAGTAAGAAGGGTTAATATAGGAGACAAAACACAGTCGGTATCTAGGGATAGGGGATTCGCTGAGATCAGTGGACCGTGTTGATACACGCTGGTGGGATGCAGCTCAGCGGGTGTCGGAAACTACCAAAAATATACACAGTTATTGCGGGGTCTCGACGGTATAATATCTAGCAAGAGCGGCTCTCACATCTCATTTCTCGAGTTCTTTTGTCGGCCGACTTGAAGTTGACCAGGTGTGGATTTAGAAGATTTCGCCGGGTCTGTTCATTCATCCAATATACTCTATTATAAAATGTGCCGCAATTCAGTTCCGTCGCTGCAATTGCAGTGTACGGCTGAACTGTGACGGTGCAGTAACTACGAAGCCAACTTCTCCAGTCGCTCTCGAAGGATTTCAAAAGTTGCTCGGTTTTCTTCCCACCTGCGCATGGCTTTTTCAAATTCCTCATGAGAGACCCAACGCTTCCTCACCATTCTCCATTTTCGGAGAAAACACCTTGTTGTACATCCCCTCCGGTAGCTTGGTCATCTGGATACGTCGGGTACCGAGTACTTTACCAGCGACTTGCCGGAGAGCGTGGGACGTTGAATTTGACCCAATTGGTGCTGTTCATTGTATAGCCAGCGGCCGGACGTGTAGCGAAAGAAGGGGTTGATTGCCTCTGTCTGTGTGAGATTCGTTGAGAGAGTCCGAGGTTGGATGGAAGCCTTAGTTGAGATGAAATGTCTACTGAGAAGCTTGTAAGCTTTATATTGCCCTTGCATCGTGATGTTTTGAGGGTATGAAGAGAGTGGTGAGGAGTTGAGGTTAGACAGTAAGATATCAACAAATCTGATCACATGATACAGGGGAGGTATACTCAAAAGTGAATACAGATGACTATATAACTACAAAGTTACTTTAACTGAAGTATTAGTTACTACCTTATGTCCAGATAGCTATAACCCTTGCATCAGCCTACAACATTGTCTCTGCAGATAAAGGACTTGATGGCTTCGCCTAACTCCGATTATCAGCTCATATAAACTTTGTCGCATGAAATCAGCTGCTATCCTTCCATGTGCTACTCGCTAATAAGCATAAAAATTGATCGCCTCCGAGTCCATAGCCCGGATGCGCCGGTTCGTCCGCATGAGAATCCACCGCAGCACCCAAGCAGTCACTATCACACCCGCCGAGAAGCCAATGCTGCAGTACATGGCCTTGGAGAAGCGCGGCGCATCCGAATCTGGCCACAGGTATGGGGTGTACACGCTCGCCAGATTTCCCAGTGTGTTGGTGATGGCAATGGCCACGGCCTTCTTCTCGTCTGTTTGTCCCAGCGTCGCTGCGGTCCAGGCGAGGTTGATATTGTTGACGCCGTATGTGGCCCCCACGAAGAGAATCATGGCGAAGTAGCGGGCTCCGATGTTGAGGGTGCTGCAGGCTACGGCAAACCCAATGATGGCTAGCAGCTTGGAGATGGTGATGTGCCAGGTGCGTTCGTTGAAGTGGCCGGAGGACCAGGAGACGATTACTGAGGCGAACGTGGCCACGAGGTACGGCGGGCAGGTGAGGACGAGAGTGATGGTGGAGTTGAACCCGAGGGTTTCGACGACAGTTGGCATAAAGTTCTTGAAGCCATTGGCGGACAAATGGAGGTTGCACTGGAGGGCAAAAATCCAAGTGCGGTAGTCGGTGCATGCCTCGCGGAGACCCTTCCATGTGCTCGTGCGGTCCTCTTTCTGCGTGGTGTCGCGGGCGATCCGGTCGTATGCCATCTGGCGCTCCTCTGGGCTCAGCCACCGGGTCTGCAGTGGCGAGTTGGGAAGCAGGAAGAACGCGGCGATGGCCACGGCGAACGTGATCACGCCTTGGATGAGAAACAGCCATCTCCAGCCGGCCAGGCCGTGGGCGCCGTCCAATCCGGCAAAGACCCCCGCGGCGATGAGTCCGGAGAATGAGCTTGCCAGCATGTTTCCAGTGTATAGGATAGCCATCCGGGTGGTGGCTTCTTTGCGGTTATAGAACAGACTGATCATGAAGAGCGCTCCCGGGTAGAAGGGGGCCTCGACGATCCCAAGTAGGAGCCGGCAAACGAGCATGCCGTGGTAGTCTTTGACAAGGCAGGTGAGTGTAGAGATAATGGCCCATGCCATCATGAACCCGGCCATGTACCACGACGGCCGGACGCGGTTGAGAAGCATGTTGGACGGGACTTGGCCTAGGAGGTAACTGGACTCGTCAACATTCGTCTCTTTCTTAAGAGAGATATGCCCACCCGACAAAGAGGATGCTGACGCAGGTATTGTACTGCGTTCCGTGCAAATGCAGGTCTTTGGACAGCCTGTTGAGCTTGCCATTGACCATGGCGTTTCGGTCGAGGAAATTGAGGAAATACATCAGCCACAGAATAGGCTGCTCTGTCAGCAAAATCAGGCAGTATACTGTATGCGTAGACCAACCATCATGTACAGGTCAATCTTTTTCACGAGAGCAATCTCTCTAGGATCGGTTTTGGCGGCGGAGCCAAACTTGTCATACTGAGGAGTCGGCTTCAAGATCTCGTCGCAGTGGTCAATGTGCTCGACCTGCCCTTCGTTTTTGGTGTTCATGGTGGGTAGTTTTTCAACGCCTGCGATATCTGGGAATATGCTAGATAAGATCCATAAAAAAGAGCGCACGGCATCCACTGACTGCTTTTATATCTTCCTTCAAGCAGTGTCTTGGCTCCCCGCTGATCTGGGGTATGCATATCCCCACGGGGTTTCCAGAGGAGGCACATGGCCCATAACCTGCATATCCGGGCCAAGAGAGGAACAATGAATGCGGGGATGCCAAGGAATTATATAAAACGCTGTCAAGCATGCATATATTGATATCAAGTAGATTCAAAGTCCKTAAATGCTTATCCGAAGTTGGATATCCGTGTGCAGCTATATCCGTCGGAAAATATGATACAGCAACCTTGCATCTCTGAGGAACAGAAGCTATTCGGAGAAATAATTATTACTTATTGTTATGATATTTGATTGGAGCAATCTTACCAATATATCCGAGTAAGCTAAAGTTGTATGCGGTCTCCAGCAATCACAGAACCAGTTACTATCTCATGTAAGATTATGGCAAGAACTAGTGAAACAGCAACTGAATGTATTGCCTTCACTGGATATACACCATCTATAAGGTATTCTATTTACAGTCACTTTGCCTGCATCTTCTGCTGTCTAGCCCACTCCAAGGCACTCTGCCTGACCGATTCCTCGCCCACCTCCCCAAAGATATCGACTCCCAGCCTAGCCGGGAAATTCATCCGCTGATGGCGGTCCAACGCCTGGATTCTCTCAAAGGCATGTTCGGGTAAGATGAACACTATCTAGTCAGCACCTTTGATTCTAGTTCAGGATAGATGGCATACCCTCGAGGTTACTTCTGATTCTCTCCGGCGTCACCGACTTGGGCACGACGGATGTCCCGCGCTGAATGGCCCAGCTGATCAACACCTGTGCGGGTGTTTTGCCTAGCTCTTTGGCAACCTGGATGACGGTTGGATCATCGACAGCCCTGGATCGTTAGCTGTGGACACTGTGCGAGTGTAGGATACTCACCGAGGAATATTGTAAATGTTGTTTCCCAGGGGCGAGTAAGCGGTTATCACGATTCCCTACTCCGTCAGTAATGTATACTTCCTCAAAAATTTTGGACGTACCTGTTGCTTGGACCACTCGAGCAACTCCCTCTGTTGGAGATAGGGATGTGCTTCGATCTGATTGACAGCCGGGGGGATCCGAGCCCTACGCAGTACAATCAGCGCCGTCATCTCGACAAGAAGACGGAAAACATACGTAGTCATCAGCTCCTCAATCCTCTGCCGAGTGAAATTGCTCACTCCAATGGAGCGCACTTTCCCCTTCTCCACGAGCTTCTCCATCGCAGCCCAGGTATCCTTGATAGGGACATCAATGACATCGACCAGCCCGGTTTCCGCATCCACAGGCTGAACCGTCGTCGTCGAGTATCGAAATGCAACGGGCCAATGGATCAAATAGAGATTTACATAGTCAACCTGCAGATCACGGAGTGTTTGTTCGAGCGCCTCCTCCACGTGCTCGGGTTCGTGGTGTGTGTTCCATAATTTACTGGTGATCTATGCAATTGCAGTCAGCGTAGTCGGGTAATTGTGATGGAGGCACATACGAAAATCTCTTCGCGCGGAACACCAGACAGCCTAATTCCCTCTCCGACCTCCTTCTCATTTCCGTAGACTGCAGCAGCGTCAATGTGGCGGTATCCGGCTTTTAAAGCTGTGCACACGGCCTCTTTGACTTCGTTGGGCTTGGACTGCCATGTTCCCAGGCCAATGGCTGGGATGCTGTGGCCTGTTTTTAGGGGGTAGGAACTAGGGAGAGCCATTCTCTTTTTTCCACGACTCATAAAATGGTGGCTTTTGATGGTTGTGAGGGGCTTATATATAGTAGACCAATATCCGCGAGATGCTGCTTTTCCGAACATCAGATATCCGAGGGATTTCCGCCGGGAATCTTATGGACTAACATTATGACCGTTAACATACATGTAGTAGCACTATTATTTCGAGTAGCTAGAAAGGACCATTTTGAGCGCATTTAATAATTCTGCAATTCCAATATAGAGCAAGTCTACATCTTCAACTGACAGTACTATGCAAGAATCAGCCATGTTCTGCACACACTCATCATAATATACTCACCGACGTATCTAAAACGAATGGGTCTGCTACACACTGAAGTCCTTGACAGCAGGTTCCGACCGAACCGAAGTATGTCGCACAGATGTTCCCTAAAAGAAGGCAAATGCCCGACTGAGGAGTGGGTGTAGCCACAGCCATAGCAGTGAGGGAGGCAAGAAGGTAAATGAACTTCATTCTGCTGCGCGTTGTTAGCATTTGCCTGGAACATAGAGACATCGAGACTTACTCGAGTGATAGCAAGGGTGAGTGCTTGTATGGTAGCGAGATGAACGCTGATCAGGGTTGCCTCGAGGGGATCAGTCCGTTTATACTCCTAGCTAAAAATTTGGAATGACGGATGAAAGGCATCCCAGATAAAGTCCATTCCCATGCTAGCAAGTCTAGTATTGGACTCTAGCAGTGTAACACAACATACCATTACCTCAATGTAGTATGCTACTGCGTTTATCAGCGCCTTGGCGCCCAAGGAAGGGATAGAGAAAGTTTGTTGCTGTAAGCAGAAGTGGTGACTAGTGACACAACATGCTCGAAAGCTTCGGGATCATATTCTGCATCTGTACAGTGTGAAATGCTTCAAAGCCAGTGGCCCTGGCCATAGCAGGCTATACAGCCACGCTTTTGTCCCTTGCATTGCTGGTCAACTCGTTGCATACTTTACTCTTACGTTGTCTGATGCTATACTTATGTCTTATATCTATTGCTTTCAAGCTCCTAGCGAGGTGTCATGGCTACTTCCTCACTCTTGGCCCCTGCTAATAGATAGCTAGCTTCTGTTTTTACCCTGTGGGAGTATGGATCTATCCCAAAGGCCACGATAACTGTGTCCTTCCATTGTCAGCCGGATTTACTCTGTATAGAAAGCAACTCTATAACATTTGAGCAGTCATATACCATGAGAAGTGCACTATCAGAGTAGGATAATGAATACCTATCATGTAGCAATATCAATAGAAAGCAGCCAATACAGTATGACAATCTTATCAATCATTGCATCTGAGATCACACAACCTGATTGGTTGTGTCCTGCAAACTTAAATCTGGTTCTACTCTACATGTGCTTTTGTCACGTCACCCCTCGCACAATATATTCAAGATGGCAATTCCTTTAATCTAACCTCTGCGATAGCAAAGTCCTCGTGGGATGAAAGCAACGAGCTTAGTCGTCACATTGATAATGTAAGTGCAAAGGCTTTTCCTGTCATATTTACAATGATAATGATTTCCCTATGTCCGCATCAGAAAGTATGCGCCTCCAGGTCCTCTGGAATGTGTTCCAGAATAGACCTAGCGGTTGCTGTGAAACCCAGCGCCGCAGATCGGTCGCCTTGCATCAGCATATTGGATCCCAGTAGCTTGGGGATTTCGCCTTGACCAGCCTGCTCAATGGGTACACTGCGTGGTTCGGGGGAAGGGAACACTCCCTTCTTATGCAATGTTTTAGCCAAAACTGTGGCCACGTCCTTCCAGGACACTCTCTCTCCGTAGATCATGTAGTAACGACTCTCTGCCGAGCCAGTAACCTCTTGCGTCGCTGCGATATCCACAATCTTCAGAATAAATTTCAGAGAGTCATCGACATGGATCTAGAATGCATTTAGCTTTTATCCATTTCCCTGCAAGTAGGGCTCATCTTACGACACTCAAGAGCGCACTTCCCTCGCCAACGTAAGGGACAAATCCAACAGACTGCGCGTTTCCAGTTAAGATTTTGTATCCGATACCTAGCGACGGTAACGGACCCTCCGCCGCACCATATGTCAACGCCTGACACACGATGAAGGTATTGATGCTGCCTTCATTTCCAGCATCGAGGATACTATACAGCCACCAGTTAGGACGGCCAGGGCGGCAGTTGACTCTCTTGCATTCTGGAATACTCACAGTCGATCCGCTGCACCATTGAGCATACTGGCATCGATCTTTTTGATGTCGTCCTCATTGGCATCCTATTTTGAAAACAAACGTCAGAAGTGCTTTCCAAGCCAGTTTGAAGAACGCTGAGAGTATGCTCACATTCCACACTTTGCTAGCCGGGTCGTATTTGCCATCCGTTCGATGGTCGATAAAGTTTCCTCCACCACTGACATGGATAAGGGTCCCCTTCGAGCCACCTTTTCTCTGCTTCAACCCATCGACAATTGCTTGGGACAGCGATGGGTCAAATGAGGACCCTGTGTTGATCACCATGTCATGCTCAGCGGCCAGAGCACGGACTCTGGCAGTATCCTCAAAGGTTCCATGCTCAACTCTGTCCACACCCACAGAGTTGAGAAACCAATCGTCCGCTTGAGGGTTACGGAAATACACCGTCAGTGGCCAGTCTGGGTGTTGTTGCTTTAGTCGTCGGGAGAGCGAAGCTAGAACACGGGGGTGTTAGGAGTTGCCAATTTCACAGTCGAGGAGCAAGAAGCATTTACCTCCCAGCATTCCGGTCGCACCGACTATAAGAACGGAAGGCATTGTATCTCAATGGGATTTCCAATCTTGACTCAATAATGACAAGAGCGTTGCTTCGATCGTATGGATCTCTCAGCGATCATTGTCTCTATTTAATGCATTGCAGGTTACTCATCTTTTTCGCCATTGCTTGTGTTCATTACATTTCCACTGTCATTCTTGACGCCACGCTGCTGACAGATCGTGGTGTGACTGTGTCGCATAGTAACTGGGTGGGTCATACGGAGTCGTACGGTGTAAGTACCTTACACTTCTAAGTGCTGGATTTAGCGCCGCCGGGCTCGGCGGAACGGTATCATTACAGGCCGTCAAGTCAACCTTAATTAGATTAGTCAGTGCGCTAGTCATTAGCGCCGCCGAACCCCGCGATACCAAGCACAAGTATTCTTTAACCGTTGACCAATCAGGGTAGCACTACACGTCATTATCACGATGTGCCCTTCGTACGGCTCTTATAGCCACCGTATAAGTAAGGCAGCATTTGAAAGCTTTATCAACTTAATCAGCTTAGTGTACGGTCGTCTCGCCGAGTTCGCCAGGCTTACGAATTCGCCGAACGCCAGAATCTAGGTATCAATGCAGGATATCGATCAACCTATTGGTTAGCTGCAACGGACATGAATTGGACAGTTCGGCGACCTAGGTAATATTAATAATCTATATGAATGCATAGAACTATATAAAGGCCCATGAGACCGGGTACTAGCTACAGACCCTTCAGAGTCGTACCAAATAGTCGTACCATATAGTCGAACTACCTAGAAAAATGGCTCAAGACAAATACCTCGCGGGCAAAGTTGCGATTGTGACCGGAGCCTCCAAACTCTCCGGGATTGGAGCTGCTGCTGMCATTGCACTCGCAGAGCACGGCGCTAATGTGTGATCCAAAGACCCAGACTAAGTCCAAGCCTCGCTTTGCTGACCGTTCTCTGCCGAAATAGATTGCTGTGCACTATAGCTCCAATGCCGCGAGCGCCCAGGAGGTTGTTGAGAAGATCAAGAGCCTGGGTGTTCAAGCGACTGCGATTAAAGCGGACGCATCCTCGCCGGATTTTGGTACTACTCTTGTCGCCGGAACGTTGAAGGCATTCAATACGAGCAATATCGACATTCTCGTTAACAATGCGGGCACTGCCGTCATGCACGATTCTGCGGCCTCGGTCCCTGCGGATGTCTGGGACGATGTGTTTCGAGTCAATGTCCGTGGGCCGTTCCTACTCATCCAGGCCGCTCTTCCACATATGAAGAGCGGCGGCAGGATTGTGAACATCTCCAGCATTATCGCCAAGTTGGGCTCTTCCATGTTACCGGTTTATGGTGCCTCAAAAGGAGCGTTGAATTCCATGTCGATCGCATTGGCCGAAGAACTGGGCCCGAAGGGGATCACGATTAACTTGGTGTCCCCCGGGCCTATTCAAACCGACCTTAGCATGAAAGGATCTCCTGTGGCCGCCCGACTCGAGAGAAATCAGCATATCAAGAGAGAAGGAAGCACTGAGGAAGTAGCGGCGGCGATTCTATTCCTGTCAAGTCCAGCTAGCGGCTACATTACTGGGCAGAATCTGTATGTAGATGGGGGTATTAACCTCCCCTGATCAGACCTTAGAAAGCACAGTATGAATGAACGCTTGATCTCCTACATTTACTACGGTTTGCATCGTAGATTCGTAACCAGTATGCTTAACCAACATCGTAATCTGGAGCCTGGAATGATGTGAAATCTACAGGGTCATATCTGACAGGAAATGAATCACTAGGCGAACGGAACAGACGCTCATAGATATCATAGTCCCGATGGAGGAAGGTCCACACGAGGGTTACACGACTCGTAACTTTATCTCGTTAGCTAACCATCACTTTTCCGCAGGGAATAGGCGAGATCCCTGGTGGCGGTGCACCTCAGTCTTTTGGTGGCGACAGGACCCTGTCCCTGCATACCTAATAATAATCGCTACAGGATGCGGTTTCGCGCCAAGCCTTTGCTGTCCTAGTCCTACAAATATTCCGAGATTATAAACCCCCACCGTGTCTACGTCCCGCAGCGACTGGCTGGCTCACTTCAGGGGATCCTAAGACGGTTGTGAAATCATGGACACTACACTCGATGGTTCAAGTACGGGGAATTCCAGCAGCCCCTTGAAGCGGGAGCCGCCGTGCTCTCGTTGCAGGCAGAAGAAGATAAGATGCGACAAGCAACGGCCCTGCGACCAATGCAAGAGAGGTGGTTATCATTGTCTGTACGATGAAAATTCCGACAGTACAGACGATGGCGCCAAGTACACTGCGTTACAAAATCGTATCGTCCGGCTGGAGGCTCAGCTGAAGGCTGTGACTTCGGGAGCCCCAACGAGGGGTAGAGGGAGCGCAAGTGAAACAGAGATGCCTCAGTCCGAATCCCCGCTCGACTGTAGCTGCGGCCGGCAGATATTCAACACGAACTTCTCGATCCACTATGATTCCGGCATTCACTGGGTTGATCTGTTCCCGAGTGTACGCCATTCTTCAAGACAAGCAAGCCAAGTTTGAGAACTAACTGTTACGGACAGCTGCGCGAACTCTATTTTCAGGCCTCTGCTGAGGCCGAGTCGAAATGGAGCCAGGAAAAACGGGGTCCAGTCCTCACTGGGGCTGTTTCTCCTGATAGCCTGGCCCTGGCCAAGTATTATCCCACTTCAGTTGAAGCCGAGCTGCTCATGTCCATCTTTTTCGAGAATGTCAACCCTTTCGTACGCGTGCTCAATAAAAATGCATTCCAGAGCGATATGCAAAGATACCGTACAGGGAAGCATCCTCAACCGGAGCTCGTTGACTCCCTGCTTTTCTCTATCTATGGGCTTGCAGTCATGTCCCTGGAGTCGCAAAACGCCGTTGATATGTTCGGCCTCCCTAAAGAATGGTTGCTGGACAAGTACCAAGAAGCCCAGGAGATTGCCCTTCACAGACTTAATTTCATCCATAGTAGCGAGCCTGCTGTGTTTCAAAATTTCCTTTACTACCTAGTAGGTCAAAGCCGGCGCCTAGCAGAAATATTATAACGTACAATCGGCCGTCAACTAACCCCTCTTCCACTGCAGGTATTTCTCTTTGAACGAGGGTCCTATCGAACAGCAACTACGCTGTTGGGTCTGGCCGTCCGCATTGCCCAACGGATAGGACTCCACAAGGATCCCTCCTGGTTCAGCTACTCCCCATGGATGTCCGAATGGCGAAGGCGACTGTGGAATCAGTTGATTTTACTTGAGCAAAGGGTAGTTGCATTTGACGGCACGCAATCCTTGCTCAGTTTCCCCTGGGACACTCAGCTCCCGCTGAATGCTGATGATGGGGCATGGAATACAAGTTTATTCATGAAGCCCAGCGAGATACCCTCTCCGACCCAAGACTTCACGGACATGAGTCCCATTCTTGTCAAACGACATGTACTTTCCATTCTCTGTCCGGTACGACAAAAGATAAGGACACGTCCGTACCCACAGCAAGTGCAACATATAGAAGCCGGGTTCAAGGAAGCAACTCACTTTTTCCAATCGGTGGGAACTGACAAACAGGGCTTAGCAAACTTTGTCCAGGCCGTCTGTGAGATTGAGTTTGGAAACCTGCGTCTCATGGCTGGACAGGCAGTCGTGAGGTCTGGGAGCGCGAACTCCGAGTTTTTGAACCAGTAAGTCTCTAGTTGCTAGTCTAGGATGCCACTCTCCGCTGACCCATAGGAAGACTGTATCTTGAATCACTCGCGCTTTTGGAGCGGATTGCTGCTGTTAGGAATTCCGTGCCGAATCCTGGGTGGCTATGGTACCTCCGGACGTCGCCACCCGTTTTTGCCATCGCCATCACCCTAACACATTTGTGTTCCGAGCCGGCAAACTGCCATTCTGAGCGAGCTTGGAGGCAGATCAACGGTTTTGATGAGTACGGAAAGGAGAATGGGACTATACAATCTGCATCAATGGCCGCTCTGCAAAGTTTAAGAGAAACCGCCATGTTATCGTCGGGCTTTCCTGCGGATCGGCCTGCAGTTGCTTATAGCGACGATCAATATATGCTGCAAAGTCCAGGGAATATTGACACCGACTATCTGATACAGCCTGCCGCGGATCTTTTCAGTGATATGTGGTCCAATTCGCTGTTAGGGGGATCACTTCCAACCATATAGAAGTAAGACTTATTCAATTAACTAGGCCACAATTATGTACACTAGCTTATGGAAAAGAAATTCTCCGCGCGTGTTCTCCATGTCAAATGCCGGTCTCGTGGTACATCGGGCATTGGCCTATGATATAATCGAAGGGGTACGGCATTTATAGTTCGATGTTCCACAACGCCGGGACCACCTCTGAAGTCGAGGAGCTCGCAACAAACACCAACTTACCAGCATATTCCACTTACATAGCCTGAAAGCAGTCAGCAAGCAGCTGTTGGTGGGTCGTATAATCGTATATTCGTATTACTGCCGGGGAGGCGTCTGCTAATTATCCCAGCCTGGTTGGTTTGGATACTTTGTATATCACATCACCCCCTCCTTTGTTTCGATTAGCCTTTCTATATAATTGTATGCAGAGGGGGTTTCTCCGGGATCGGCTCGGTATGATCTCGGAAGGACCTCGGGGAAGCTACTGGGTTTGCTATTCATTAGTGCATCGGTGACTAGAGCTAGAGCGGTTCTCACAAGGGTGCACACCTCCACGGCTCGAAAACCCCCCCCGAGAACACTGGTATCAATTCTTTGTCCTCCCACAGTCCCCTGGCGGACGATTGTGCGGGCCGAAGGCTTGAGTTTCTCCGAAGAAACCCAGAGCAGTGGGCTCAGATGCGGAGTACAGCGACTATTTGCCGGCGGATAACTAATCATTTACACTGAGCCACCTATTTCCTTGAAGCATTGACCTTCTCCAGATGCGACGATGACGATCCCCATGGGGACTGGGGAGTCTGAACGTCCGTACCTGAAGACTCGCAGCAGCTGGCTCACATATAAATATGGCCATGTTGTGCCAGCTTTCACTGCGGTGAATCCTCATCCATCTCAAAATGGTTTATTTCACCAAGACCCTTGCGGTGGGTCTCATAGCGGGCATCGCAAATGCCTTCAACTATGACCAGCCCTACCGAGGCCAATACCATTTCTCGCCCCAGGAACATTGGATGAATGATCCCAATGGTCTCTTGTATCACAATGGGATCTACCATCTGTTCTTCCAGTACAACCCTGGCGGTATCCAGTGGGGGAACATGTCCTGGGGCCATGCCACCAGCAAGGACCTCACCCACTGGGAGCAGCAGCCCATCGCCCTCCTCGCCCGGGGATATGGCGGCAACGTCACCGAGATGTACTTCAGTGGCAGTGCGGTCGTTGATGTGAAGAACACCAGTGGCTTCGGGAAGGACGGCAAGACCCCTATAGTCGCCATGTATACTTCCTACGTACGCCTACCCCTCAAATAAATACCTGGAGTGAAAATGACTGACACAGCCTTTTCTCAGTACCCTGTTGCGCAGACCCTGCCGAGTGGGAAGACTATTCAGGAGAACCAGCAGGCACAGTCCATCGCCTACAGTCTTGACGAGGGTATGACCTGGACCACGTACGATGCCGCCAATCCGGTCATCTACAACCCTCCGGCCCCATACCAAGATCAGTACCAGAACTTCCGTGATCCCTTCGTGTTCTGGCACGCGGAATCCCAAAAGTGGGTGGTCGTCACATCTCTGGCAGCACTGCACAAGCTTGCGATTTACACTTCCGACAACCTCAAGGACTGGACGCTGGCGAGTGAATTCGGTCCTTACAACGCACAAGGCGGCGTCTGGGAATGCCCTGGTCTTTTCAAGCTGCCCCTTGATGGTGGCAAGTCCACGAAATGGGTCATCACGACCGGACTCAACCCTGGCGGTCCCCCCGGCACCGTCGGCTCCGGAACCCAGTACTTCGTGGGTGAGTTTGACGGCACCACCTTCACTCCCGACGCCGATTCGGTGTACCCCGGAAGCGCGACCGCCAACTGGATGGACTGGGGCCCAGACTTCTATGCCGCGGCGGGCTACAATGGCCTCCCGATTGACGCCCACGTCCATATCGGGTGGATGAACAACTGGCAGTATGGCACGAACATTCCCACCAACCCCTGGCGCAGCGCCATGTCTATTCCTCGGCACCTGGCTCTCGAGACCATCGGGGCCAAGGCGACTCTCGTTCAGCGGCCCCAGGAAGCCTGGTCTTCGATCGTGAGTAAGCATGCGGCCTATTCGCACACTTACAACTCTGTCCCGGAAGGCTCCGTCAATGTGGGCACCACGGGAGAGACGATCAAGATCGACTTGAGTTTCTCGGCTGCTGCTTCGACGGCGTCGGAGTTTGCCATCGCTATTCGGGCCTCCGCCGACTCCACCCAGCAGACCCTTGTCGGCTACGACTTGGTCAACAAGCAGGTCTTCATTGATCGCACCCGATCTGGAGACGTCTCCTTCGACAAGACTTTTGCGAGCGTCTACCGCGGACCCCTCGCCCCTGGCGTTAATGGCACGGTGAACCTGAGCATCTTTGTTGATCGCTCCAGTGTGGAGGTTTTCGGCGGCCAGGGCGAGACCACCCTGACAGCTCAGATTTTCCCGAGCAGCGAAGCAGTTCACGCCATGCTGGTGTCGACGGGGGGAGCTACTAAGGGCGTCAACCTCAACATCTATAATGTTGCCTCCACTTGGCACTGAAATTGGCTTCTCATAGGAAGCACGGTCTGAAGCATCTCAGCAGCTTCCATCAGTCCTTGCCTCAAGTGGTCTATCATAGATTTAGGGCTCAGTATGAACAATGAACTTGATGACAAGTAATAATAATACTATCCCAATAATGCCCGCACCTATAAGCTTCTCCTCAATGAGGCGGATTATGTTGTCCGTCTCGAACCTAGGGTCAGACTTAGACAAGGATACCTCCGAGTGGTGCTGTACCTTGGTAAGATGTAGATGTAGATTCAGTAGATGACACCCGATCTTTCAGGCACAACACACACTATACACTAAGGTACCTACAATATACTGATCATTATGACACAAAAGGACTCGAACCACTTGAGTCACGACATCAAGACAATCCTCAAACAACCTCACAGTCATCACATAATACTCCTCACTACAATCCTCCAACCTCAGAACCCACAAACCATGGAGCGGCCCAACAATCTCCTCACCGAGCTCAGAAAGCGCCGAGAGCACGCCCAAACCCAAAAAACCCGCGCCGAGCTGAAAGCAAAGGCTGCCGCAGACGCCACCGCCGCCCCCCAACACTCCAAGCAGTACCTAGACTGGATAGCCAAGTACCACAAAGAACAGAGCAAGGGCTTCGCAATCCTCCAGCGCATCAACGCCCTGCAGGCCCTCAGCAGGAAAACAAGCACCCCAGAAATCAAGAGCGCCAATCCACCACCATACAGCAGCACCACGCTCGACGAGATGATCTCCGCGCTGACGCTCCTGTACCGCGAGCACCTGGAGACGCTGCAGGGTACGCTTGCTGCGCATCCGACGGGCGGCCGGGCGGGCGATTACCATGAGTTTGAGTTTCTGCGGACCACGCATAATGAGAAGGGGCAGACGCTGGCGTGGGAGGAGCACCAGTATACGTGTGCGATGCGTGGGGGGTGCTGTGGGCGCCTGTGTGGGTGCTGTAGTCTGCCTCTGCGGGAACTGTTTATTCCGTTGTCGAATGGGAAGAGGAAGAAGGGCGGGGTGTATGGGCATTGCACGGCGGAGTGTCTCTGCTGTAATCTGTTTTATGGATGCTATAAGCCTGATTCGCGGTTGCCGAAGATTGATCCTGCTTTGGTCAAGGCTCTTGGTGGATGATTACTGTACCCAAGTAGTTGCTTTGTTATTAGACATGCTGGTGGATGATTACTTGCTACTCTTGCTACAGGTGATAATGAAGCTAGCTACACACGTTCAGCAACGCCACAGTAGGATCATGGTCGCTTGCCTGGTCGTCGTACGAAACCCAGGTGTTGACGTGCAGATGGTGCATCTGCGCTCCCTTCGCCAGCGCCGGACTCACAAACATGTGGTCCAGCTGTTGGCAGTTCATGTCATAAAGATACGTGTACCGCTCCGTAGTTGCAATGCCAGCGACCTCGTCAAGATCCTCCAGCCCGGATTCAGCCAGGAAGGTCTCCAAAGGCTGCGCAAAGGTGAATTCGTTGAAGTCGCCGGAAGCAATGATCTTGGCGCTGGGGTCTTCTGCCAAGATAGACGATGTGAATGCCTTTATTCATCAGTAGCGTTCAAGGTTAAAAGAAGCGAGGACATACAGCAACGAGCTTGGCCTGCGCCTCGCGCTTGGCAACCGCCCCGTTCACCGGCGTCCGGGCATCGCCCTCGATTGATGATCCACCCCCCTTACTGGTGAAGTGCACATTCACCGTGAAGAACTTGTTCTTGCCGTCGAGCGTTTCCCACGCTGCGGCCAGCGGCTTGCGGCTGTCATCCCAGGCGTCATTGGACGGGTCGATCAGGCCGGGGTTATACTTGAGTTCGGCGCCGGGAAGGACCTCATTGGCGTCGGTGTTGGAGCCAGGGTTGGCGTTGCGCAGGCGGATCACGGAGGCATCGTACAGGTAGGCGACGCGGATGTTTCCGCCTGGCTGGCCGCCGTCCTGCTTGTTGACGGGGTCAATATCGATAAAGGAGTAGTTGATGCCGCCTTGGTCGGCGATGGACTGCACCAGGGTGGACAGCGTCTTGTTGGCGGATACCACTGCACAATGCATTAGCAGCTCGTCAGGGAGAAAGAGAGGAAGACGTACCGCCGTCATCAGTCGGCCCGTCATCGTCCTGGATTTCCTGCAGAAAGACCAGCGTCGGACTCTTCAGGTACTGCGCAATGTGCTGCGCGATCTTGGGCAGCGTCGTCGAGTCGGGACCGAGGTTGTTGACATTGTACGAGCCAACCGTCACAGCGCAGCACGTTCCAGCCGACTGGAAATCCGTAGCTGCAGCGGCCGTCGTGTTCGATCCGGTAACAGTCAATGCAGTCAAAGGCAGCAGCGCATAGTACCCATACGCCGGCGCAATGACACCCGTGATGTCCCCAATCGAATCCCCCAGCTTGGTATCGGTAGGGTTCTTACTGCCATCCAATGGTGACCCAACAATGACAGCTTCAGGGTTCAAATCTACGCTCATCAGCACTCGTAGCCTTCATAACCTACTGCGCCCAAGAACCGGCAAGAACAAATTCCGAAGAGAAGGAAGACATACCCTTATCCCGCATGGTCAGCCCACCCCTCTCATTCTCCCCACTCACTTCCCAATCCCCAAGCACCCACGTATCCCCATACGAGTTCGGCTTCGCAATCGCCCGCACATTCGACACCCTCACCAACTCCCCGCTCAGACTCTCCCAAAAGTCCATCCCGTACTGCCCCGGCTGCAGCACCGGATTGACATTGCTAATCTGGCTCACATTGTTCGGCACAGCAAGCACATCCCCGCCGTCCAGCGAGGAGAACTGCTCCGTAGGCGGGGCCCGGCCGCCCTTGCCCACCACCACCGGCACGACGGCATTGCCGCTCGAGACGACGCTGATGGCAGACGGGGAGGTGAGTTCCGTTAGATACACGTACGACGCCGAGGAGCGGTACTCGGATACCTTGCCTGTGAGGGTGATGATGTCGCCGACGGAGACTTTGGAGACGGCGGCGCTGCCGAAGACGTAGATGGATTCCGAGGTGGCGTCGTCGTCGTCTGGGGTTGTGGAGCGCAGGTAGAAGCCTGAGGAGCCTTTGGCTGTTACCAGGCCTTGGATGTTGGAGACTGTTTTGCCTGCGTAGGGCGAGAGGTATTGGTTTCCGTTGATTTGGCTGATGGTGAGGGCTGAGGTTGAGGAAACGAGCGCCGAGACGCAGAGGAAGAAGGAGGCTGCTTTGATCTTCATTTTACAGATTTTATCACCTCTTGAGTGAGTGGCCTCTTTTCTTAGAAAGGATTGCAGAGAGCCGGGACTGGGGCATGTTTTATACTGGACTCGTGAGGGGTCAATTGCTCGGCGAATCTTGGATACAGCAATTAGATTGACTATCGTCAGGAGAAAGGTAGATTAATTCGACAGCAATCTACATATCCCGGTCCTTTGCACCAGTAACAGTCGCTGACGAAGCCCACGTTGTAGAGCCAAGGTGCAGCCAAGGTGCAGCCAAGCACGCTAAATGAGGCCGACACAACATCTGCAGCCTGTTATGGTGATAGGATTGCGACAGACCTACGGACCTGAAGATAATTCCTGAGGCTGGTCCCACTGACAGAATTGTAGCTGCATATACATCCCTCAAGTAAATACATCTGTCGCGTATCGCTCCTTTGTCTTTAGCTTATCCAAGAACTCCTCGGCCGCAGCGTCCTCGTCATCATCTGCCGAGATCTCCTCACCACGCTCCCGTGCCTCCTGTCGCAGTTGGCGTCTCCTCTCCAGGTAAATGTCCTTGCAGGCCTGGCGCACTCCGTTCCCTACGCCCGTGCTGCCACACACGTAGATCCGAGCGCCCTGGTCAAACAGGCTGACCAATTCTTCACGGTCCTCCAGCATCAGATCCTGCACATGACGGCCCTTGGACCCGTCCCCAGGCCGGCTGTAAGCCCACCTCACGTCCACAGCGCCCAGTTGGGCCCACTCCGCAAGCTCGGCTGCGTGGATGTCATCCTTGCCTTGGGTGCGGCAGCCCACGTACAAAATAGCTTTGGCGGGCTGTTCAACCTCGGGAAGCTGGCCATCAGCTCCGACCGAGCTGCGTCTGCCCCGGATCTTCTCGGCGCGGTCCATGACGAACCCGCGGAAGGGCGCAAGTCCGCTTCCTGCGCACGCCATAATCATTGGCGTCTTCAGATCCATCGGCGGCTTGAAGCCGGAATGAGATGGCCGCACGGCAATGTGGGCACGCTCGCCGGGCTTCAGCTCGGATAAGTAGGTAGAGGCAACGCCCATGTACTGCTCAGCTTCCGCTCGCTCGGCCGGTGGCAAGGATGCCGCGGCCAGAGACGGCGCGTTGAGCACAGAAAACGTAATCGAGCATTCGGAAGGATCCGCCAGCGGAGACGAGGAGATGGAGTATTGACGCACTCGCATGGGCGGGAGCATAGCCAAGAAGTCGCCGACAGGGAGCTTGATTGAAGGGTACCGGATCAGGATATCCAACGGGCTCATCCGTTTCTTGACGATTTCCTCTGCGAATCGAGTAGGGCTGGACGCGAGATAGCGCAGTTCAGCCTGCACGTCGGCGTCAGTGACGGCCGCGTCTGCCAGTGCGGTCAGGTCGCGCTTAGAGGCCGGCTGAGAGAGCTCCACATAGGTGGAGAGAAGTTCGAAAGCCGAGATGGGCGTGTCAAGGGGAATCGAGGTGGAGCCCTTGGCGGCCGGGCTCGGTTTGTGGATTGTGAGCATAGCATCCCAGGGAAGATCGAAACGTCGAATGGCCCGGCGAACGACGCTGCTCGGGTTCACGGGCAGTACGGCCAAGTAATCCCCACATCGGTAGCTCATATCCGAAGGGAGTTTGAACCGAATCATTCTCTTGGCCGGGACGTCGGGTGCTGAAAGCAACTGGTTGTCGACCACGAATCCTTCCTGGAGCTGAAGACCTAGGGTCGAGGCGCGCATTCCGGTGCTGACTTCTACCTGGAGACTGGACGACGGTTTAGGCTCGTCGGACTTTCCACCTCCAAACTTGGATGTGATTGCGGGCCAGAAAGCGGACTCGCCCCATGAGTCAAAGTCGGTGAACATGTCCGAGTTGGCCGCATCGGCTAGTCCGATATCACACAGCCGGTTTCCTCCATGCTCCGCAACAAGCTGATTGACCGCTTTGGGGATGCGGTGGAAGGTAGCCTGCCAATCGTCTACTAAACTTAGCAAATGTATAGTTCAAGTCATAGGCATGGTATGGCAGGCATAGATTGATAGGAAAGAGAAAGGTAACTCACGATGACCACAGCCAAACACGGCATAATTGGCGCCCTCGAGCTCATTCTCCTTCAAGGCGCTGAGCCATTCGAAAAAGTGAGCAGCGTTATCGGGCGGTTGACCTTCGTATGATGCCGTGATGAACACCACAGGTCCGTCTTTCGGAACATTCTCCATGGCGGAATCCAGGGACTGGACGTCGGCAGCAAATCCATATCCCACGGCATCGTCAGCCAATCTGCGCGCAAATGTCTCGCACGTCCCTGTGTTGCTTCCGAAGAAGATGTGCATCGGTTTGAGCTGACCAGGTGGAGGAGCTTGCTTGCGAGCCCTGCTCGCCGCTCCCGAGCTCTCCGGCGGCGCACTGTCCGCGGTGCCGCTCAGGGCGATGCCGAGTTTGGTAGCATCCAGACCATGCCTCAGAGTTGCTCTCATGTGAAATCCCTTTGGTTTGACGGTGAGCGTCTGCTTTATGCGAAGATCGTAGCTGGGATCGTCCATCTGAAAGTTGAAGTTCTGCAGCAGGATGGCCACTACCAGCAAGGCTTCCTGCCAGGCAAAAGGGCGGCCGATGCAAGCTCGCATCCCGTTGCCGAACGGCCTCCAGGCGTTCTTGGGAAGCTTTTCGAAGTTCTCGTCGAGCATACGCTCCGGCTTGAACTCTTCTGCATCGGGGCCATAGACCTGGGGGTCGCGGTGCAGCTTGTCCAGGATGATCACAATGGGCTCATCCTTGTTCAATACATACTTGCCACCTCCAAGCGTCACGGGATCCTCCTTGTTTTTCTCTGGGTGCGCATGTACAGCAATTAGAGGGGCTGTAGATTTCAGACGCAGCGTCTCTCGCAGCACAGCGTTGAGATACGGCAACTTGGACATATCCTCCACAGTGATCTTG